GTCCCATTTTTCACACACCCTGACACAGACGTGCAATAGATGTTGTGCGTTAAGTAAATATATAATACATTTACAACATAAGTAGTCCACATACTTGAAAATGAATGTTTCTTTGATGTGAAATCATTACTTGTACATTATATGCCCAGAACCAAACTGCAATAGGGATGCTAATTTAGATCCCAAATTTATAACTGATAAGATTAGGGTCTTGGATGCAGGCAAGCTGTTGGTGAAGTGCTTAACAAGCCGTCCAGTTGCAACAATATCCAATGAACAAACATTTGAACCCATTAGATAGTGGTGGTCTAATGGATAGTGAGGTGGTCTTAAGATCGGAAGGTTGTGAGTTCAAATCCCGCCAGGAACACCACCACTTGAGTAAGGCACTTAGTCCTTAGTTACTCCAGGGAGAATGTCCCTGTAATTGGTAATTGTAAGTCGCTTTGGATAAAAGCATCAGCTTAATGTAATTATCAACCTTCAGCTGTAGTGCACAGAATGCACAAAACAAGCATCTGAGTCCCCAGTTGACCTGTCTGGCAGGCCTAGAAAGTTATATCTATGAAGATATTTGCAACTGTAAAGCAACAGATGTTTTCACATTTTCTGTTTTGTGGCATATCAAAAACTCTTTTAGTAAGAAAATAATGAGTATTGATGTTTAAGATGTTTTTTTTTTTTACCAAGAAGCACCTCATATAAACGTTTTTTTCCCTTAAGAGTGGCTTTGATGTACTTCAACTCCTTCCAAAGTGAACTTGGAACATTGGATTCTCACGTAGTGCAACCAACAGCACAACAACAAATATCCCCGAATGACCCCAAAGTCAAAACAGCTGCCCTGCACTTTGAGAGCCCTGATCTGATGTGGAGGTCTTTTGCAAGACTGGGTGGACTCCATTCATTGCCAGCATCAATGTGCTGCAGCAGGAAGGTACAGGACTTTTGTATTCATTGGACCAGATTCTAATCTCTCACGTACTGCATCTAACAATACTCCAGGCATAGCCCAGTATTATAAACTAATAGGAGTGACTGTGACCAACACTGTTTCATAAGATAGAAACACGTATATCTTTAGGCTTGAAATGCGCTATAGAGCCAGAGTTGGTCCTATTTGAGCTACCGTAGACATGGTGGTGCAATAAACAGTAGTGTAACTCATGAAATACCTGCTCCCCATTCATAGTTTCATTTGATTACATACTCATAAAAAAACACAGTTACGAATATTATATTCGGTTTCTGCAAACAAAATACTACACTGGTATTTACATACTTGTTGGCATTAGGTCAAAAAAAATAATCTTAGTAGGCAAAACAAATACAGACATATTGAAGAGCATATTATAATGGGGTGTGAATATGCCTTTTTATATATTATATAAAAAGGCATATTCACACCCCAAAACTGCCCAACTAGCTAAACTAGAGTAGTTGTTTACTCAGCTATTTTAACAGTGCAATGTCATGTACATGTATGTCCTAAAGAGGAGAATGTACAAAAAGGGGCTGAAGGCAACAAACAAGTAGAGACTGATACATTCTTCCTCTGCTTCAACTCTGCGGTGATGAATTACATCTCCCCGGTAAAAATGGTGTCTCAGAGAGTTTGTTATGAAGCAATTAATGAAGTGAATGGGGTCTGTTTTCCACTGAGTATGGGACATAATAACTGTGCCATCCTTTAGGGCTAGTGATTAGCTAAAGAACTGTCCGGACAATTTTCAAAAATGATCCTTGTGGAGCTGGGGGATATTAGGACATTGTGCAAGAAAGTAACCTCCATTAGTTTAATGAGGACAGTGCTTGACACCATGGAAATGCACATCTTATTGTGCAATGGAACCGGTAAACTGGAAAAGATCAGCACAACAGAAACACACCAGTAAGTGGAATATTCCTGTGCCCCATTTCCCTCGATTGTTGCCCAGTACCAATGCAGATTTCCATGAAAACACTGCCATAACCTCCATGAGAATTACAGCATCTTGATAGATACAAGACCTTTTGCTGTAAGACTGTTTATCTGATTGGAATATGCCTCACTGTATCTGTTATACCAACCACTAACTAACAGAGAGACATCAGATGGTTATTTTAGAAGTAATGACTTCATATTTATTTGAGATTGCAGTTGTTGTTTCACAAAGAAAATATGTTGTTTCCCTTGTCTGATCATGATTAACTCTTTCCAAAAGCTGTAAACTTCGATGTAGAACCACAGGTCTTTTTATTCGGTTTTATGATAAGAACTCTTTTTAAAAACTTTGTAAACATGATATCAAGGCACTGCAGCGCTAAAATGCTCCCTCCACCACAGAAAGTCACGCTGGATCCAAGAGCCTCCACTGATTTTATTTTCTCTGTTTATCGCTCCGACAGCACAGATTAGGGGATGGCACAAACATTTGTTTTGTTGGAAGATGGAGCACAGTGGTTAGGGCGAGCTGACAGAGATAATTTGTTCAAAGGGCACAGGAAGAAATGATGTTCCAGATTCCAATACAGAAGCTGAAAGGTCAGGTTTAGCATTAAAGCGATATTTCATTTTGACTCGCCAAAATGTTTCTCTGCATTTAGGTAAAAGCCACTATAGTTCCACTGATGAATGGTTCCATTTCTTTCTTGAAAATAAGCCGACATTAAACCATCCAAGGTGGGTATCTGTCACTGGGCCTCAAATCTGGAAGGGCCTCAAAAGCCCTCCAAAAAACAGTAAATGTATATCACTTTGGACAAATGAAAATACTACTAAAGCAATAAGAGCCTGTAGGTTTGTCATGAGGCCCTGACCTGAAGAGACTTGTTTGAAGATGATGAAGTGCTTCTACTTTCTTTTGTGTTTAAAGGTCACCTATTATGCAAAATCTACTTTTTCATGCTATTTATAAATAAATATGTGTCCCGGAAAGTTTATAAAGGTTATCCCTCTTTTTATCCTGACTCATTTACATAAAAACCAGAAAATTAGCAAATCTAATTCTGGCAACTTTGTGATGTCACAATGATTTATTGGGTTGTGTAACCATTAGCCAATAACCAACCAAGGTAACACTTTCCCACCTCATCACCTGGATCTTGTCCTATATTTAAATGTTGTAATATATATTTTGATATAAAACTAAATAACATATTTTGATACAAAATGAAATATAATGGCTTCTTATTAGCTAATCTCAATTGCGGAATGTACTGTATGTTAGCACCTGGTGCTCGCACAACTTTAAAAAAATGATTTGGTAACTTTATCAGTGAAATATTTTTAACTAGATATGCATAGATCCTGAACGTTCATCCCCAATGCCCGTAGTATATAATATTAAAATTCCATCTGATCATGGTTTTACCTGTTTCATGCCTTTGCATCCCCGACATATGAAATATACTTTACTGCTTACAATACAAGACGAGAGGGAGAGTGGCTCTTATTCCCTTATTTACAGAGTTCCAAACACAGCTCCATTGAAATGAGAGGTAAATCGTTTTTTTTATATAAGTCTGAGGCTGGAACTTTAAAAAATCAGACGTTATGGTTCAAGTTTATTCTCCTAAGAGTATGCAATCCCATAAAGCTGCTGAACCTATAGCTCATTCTCTCTATAATAACACGATTGAAGAAAATGCTCATCTGCTTTCCTCTCCCTTCTGAATCTGCTGCATTGATTAATGATCCTCAGTGTTCTGACTAATGCAGTTTATTCTCTCATTAAGCTACAACAAACGTTGGTGCTCACAGGGAACTGTAACAGTCTGCATTATGGATTGGGTCATTAGTGCTAAAATAAACTGGCCCTGTTTTGCCAGCTTCCTCTCGTATATGTCCAGTTTAATAAGCTATGCTCTCCGTTATGGATGACAAAGCTACACACTCCTGCTGCTCCTGTGGCTGCGTATATGATTTCCTGCTTTTAGTGAAAACACGAGGGAAAACATAGCTTAGCAAGAAAATCACTATTAACCTTAAAAACACATTAAAAAAAAATGCTTTGAAAACCATCAAATCCAGTGTTGTGTGAAACAAAGCAAGGTTTTTTAAACTTTTTTGTTGAAAATGTTTGTCAATTACTGTACAAAAATTCACATATTTATATATATGTATATATATCGTACTGTCATTTACCAATTTGAATTTTTTTATTTTCATTCATTTATTTTTTCATTTTGTGAAAATCTTTTTCAGAAATCAGTCTAACGAATGTATCAAATCATTTAAAATAAATTATTCAGTTTTCCATTATTATCATTACTGGTGAACACCATCTTGTGGAGGCCTTCAAAACTACAACTGAATAAGGCCTATAACAAGAGATATAAAAAGCAGGGCATGTATGTAAAGTTGTATTGAATATATTTGTTTAAGATGACCCCTGGTAATGTTGAGCTAATGTATTGCTAACTTCTCTAGGAGTTTCCCAAATCACAGGGCTCACTCACTCTTATGATATACAAAAAGAAAAACGTTTGACTTCCAATAGTTTCATGTGACAACAGCAACATAAGGGGGTTGATGCAATGTCCTTTTTCAACATTGGACGGAGCTTTCTTCCAGGTGGCTGACTAGATAAAACAAATTAGGCGTATGTGGCCACATGGTGCTGACAAATTGGCGGGTTTATGGTTCAAGCCAGAATAAATAATGAACACTGGCCAGCAGCTGCCCATACAAATCGAGGCCAAGCGACTTACTCATTACCCATCTCAAAGTGGTACACAACCAAAACATCAACACTCCCACTTGCTGGTTCAGTGACAGTTGCTGACAACAACAAAAGACATATTTTTGCACTTTCTGCAAGCTGACGGTCAGGATTTGTATCTATAACGCATAAGTGAAGACATCCGAATAGTTATATATATATGACTGATCTTTTTCACTAATCAAACTGGCATCAATGGTTATCTGGCAACATTACCCTTTCTCACAATTTTCCAACTGTGCCTTGTTTGTAGTCAACTGCCAAACCCATAATGTGTGTAGTTGTATGCGGACGTACCTGTCTCGACTTTGGAGTGATCCATCCTCTCCGTCACCTTCTCCTGGCTAATGAGGTAATCAACGATGCGCACGCCGATTGGTGGCTCAGTGTGGTTCCATTCCATGATGACCAATGAGCTGCTGGGCTCGTAGGTGTAGGACAGCTTCAGTCTGGCACAGGAATGACAGAGATGCAGAACCACTGAGTGAAGCAAAAGTGGTCTCATCACAGTAATTAGGTGCTAACATTTTCCCTTGTGTTTTGCACAACCTAATAAAAACACATTCTGCAATGTCACAAACACTTTCATTAACAGAAAATAAAGCTATTGTACTCATTGACGTCTGACTTGGCTTACTGTAGAGCTGTGAAGTGAAGTATAACACTAGTGGTGTTGATACAAATTGAACCCCAATAATAATCATGATTAATCACATGTTTATATTACTTGTATTTTCGGGGGAAACAAAATAAATACACGTGTGGTGCTGTAATAAAGAAACTTAGGCAAAACTGGTAAGCAAAATCAGAGGGTTTTTTACCGAATTAAGTCATAAAGAAATCTGACAAAGTGGCTTTTACAGAGAGCCACTGTGATTCCTCTAATGTGCACAGGGCATATTACCTCTAATGCTTAACAAGCACTATGCTTCTACATTGGTTTCAGAGATGCATGTTGATCTCTGGTCGTCTCCAGTCACTTTTTTGCTGCTGTGCAATTCATGTTAAAAATGTGCTTTGGAATTATAAGAAGTAATCAATTGTGGGGGTTTACATGTTAACATTGACAGCCCCAATGAACACCCATGTATGCAGAGGTTTTCATGCCAACCATTCAATAAAACAGCTCATTTAATTGATTAGCACTCCCAATACTGACAGGATAAATACATCAGCCACCACTGAAATCATAGAAACATTATCACTCTATGAACCCCAGTAAGTGGACAACCTATCAACCCCCGACTCCCCCCACCCCATCCCGCATTCAGTATTATCACCATGGCTGTAATATTAGATTGTCTGTATACACATGGATCACAATGGCACATTACTTGACACCATGAGATAGAGTTCTGCCAGTGAAACTATGGATGGTCTGTGTTTGAGAAATGTTAGAATTACTTACAAAGGATGTGGCAGTGGGGCGCAGGTGGGGAGTCCGTCTGTGCCAAATGCGCTGGAATCACAGCGACACCAGTCATCGATGACATCACCTTTTCCCGAACACCACAGCATGCTCATCATCGCCTCCTGGAGAGACTACGAAGAGAGACACAAAAAGTGGAATCCCAGTTCAAATCAATTTGTAAATTGGAGGAGTGTTAAATGAATGAATAACTATGACTTTCTATTCTAAATTAACAATTTTATTTTAAGTTTATACTTCAAATTCGGTGACAAAAATCCTTTCTTTGTCCATAGCAGACATTTGTTTGCCATTTTCTTCAGAGCATTTATTATGGATTTGTTGTGGGTATATGATTTCAACAAATACAACTAAACTAAATGTATGTTAAAATGTCGTCCTGTTGTACATGAATGAATCTTCTTATTTGGGAGCATCACAATTTTCCCTGCAATAGTCTTTGTATTGTTGTATGCAAAACTAATACTTTCATTTTATGAAGTATACACATGTATTTACGCCCCTTTGTATAATATCACAATACTTTTCAAAGCCATAAGAAAGAAAACATTATTCAAGATGTTGCTGGTGCATTGTGTCTATACCAGCAGTAACACAACCAACAAACAGCCCTTTCCGATAACAGTATCAACACTGTTAGGTTCAGATAAAAGCCTGCCCCCCCCAGGAGCGTGGACAGCACCGTATCGACATCACTTCCTGCTAGACGAGCAGAAACTGTAACAACATAAGCTATCGATGGACTTAAATAAGTCACAGCACAGTATGGCAGATTATGGCACAGCATGCTGCCAGCAGAGTAAGACATAATACTCAAAAAGGAAAGGACTTTCACTTTCTGTGACCTCTTCCATAATGAGGCCAGGGTGGTTTTTGGCCATGAAGGGTCACCCACAGACAGGCACAGAACACCTGTACTGAGTTACTGTGGAATGAATATTCCACAGTAACTCTACAGGTGAATTAATTAATTTCCCCCTTTATACTGTGGGTTTTCTCTGGAAGTTTTTCCTTGTACGATGTGAGGGTCTAAGGACAGAGGGTGTGGTGTTGTCATACTGATATTCTGTACAAACTGTGAAGTCCACTGAGACAAATGTAACATTTGTGATATTGGGCTATATAAATAAACATTGATTGATTGATTGATATTCATTCATTCAAATGCTGCAAATGTTAATATTATTAGCTGCGAAGAAGGCAGTTTAGATGACGAACAATTCTGGGAAGGTTTTCAATCTAGGTGAACAAACAAAGGTTGCTGAAAGGCCGAAGACAAAACTTCTTCGATTATATCTTAATATAATGAAAAATGTTTAACATATAATAATGTGCACAGAAATAATACATGAATACTCACAGCTAACAAAAAGGGTCTGTCAACTCAATATAGCAACCCTCTCTGATTTGAACTATGCCACGTAATGATGTAATGATTTGTTGCCCCCACACTATTGTAGTCAATAAATGCTTCCTTTAATATTTCACTGTTCAGGAGAAAGATAAAAGATGTCACATCAATTACTATATTGGATTCTGTCTGACATGTTCAGGCATTGGACTGTCTTGTTAAGGATGAACACAGTACCTGGTAGGTCTCATTGTTGGACACCAGTTCATAGATGGGTGCAGCCTTGGTGATCTGCAGCAGGACGGGCTCAGACTGCTGCCTCCCCTGGGACATCCTGGGGCTCATGTGGCAGAGGTGGCAGGAGCGCGGGCACTGGCCCTGGCTGTTGCAGTCCATGCGGACGCCGGCGGCCATGCGCTTTGCTCCTGTGTCCAGCAGGCTGGCGATGTAGGCGGGGTAGGTCAGCGTCCTCGGCTCCTTCTCGCGCTCTTCTGACTCCTCGGAAGGAGAGTTACCTGATAGACAGAAGGATACATTTAAATAAGATTATGTTGCTTCTGGCTAAAGATGGCTTCATAGATCAAATAAATGGGGATTTATTCAACTCATGTTGTTGCTGACTTAAGTGTAACAAAACACATCAGGTATGATATTAATTGGCAGATGCTTTAGTCCAAAATTAGACCTAATCTTCCTATGAATGTCTGTTTTTGAGCAAAGGATAAAGGCTCAAATGTGGCCAGCAAGGCTTGTTTTTACAGTATAGTCAGCTGATTGCTTGAAATGCCTGTTAATACTGATACAGTTGTTGAACATTTGCATTGATAGTATTAATCAATACAATAAAAAGTTTTTTTCATATATACCCACACACACATTTGCACACAACAACATTAATTTCAACATCTCCCCAAAGGATCACGCTTACAGTTGACATACAAATGTAAGCAAGTATATAAAGGCAACTCAAACTAAATTAAACTATAACAAACAAAACTAAAACATCATGTTTAAAACTATGACAACAACGATGATGTCCATGTTCCTCATTAAGAGACGAGGGTGCAGAGAATCAAAAATAAAGCTTAACTGAGATTTTTCCCCTTCATTAGAATTATGGCAAACCAACAAAGCATTAATGTGTTCCCAAATGTCCCATGTGGAGACTTCCTAACTTATTTTTTTGGATATATAAACAGGAACCAAAGCCACAAAATACAAACAGTTTAATGTTCCCTGTAGCAAAGAAGGTGAATGGGAAGGCCTCTAATGAACTATGAAACATTTACTATTGCTTTTATGGGCTATTATTGACCTTAAGGATTTTTTTACCTCTCACTTTATGGGACTTGATTTAAACCCTAATATTTATTACAGTAAAATGATTTTGCTAAGAATGGAATATTTCAGTGAAAGCTGAAATGTATACTTGACCAACATGCTTAGATGTGTATTGAGGTTAGAGACACTATGTTTAGGTCAAAGACCTTTGTCTGGCTCATGTTTCAGGGCAAAAGATTCTCTCTCTTTTTTCCAGATCCATCTATTTGAAAATCTGTCTAAAAAAGGAGCTGATCAGATTTAGGAGACTTTGTGATGTCACAACAGTTTTTTAGGTTGGGCAACCATTAGGCACTAACCAAACAAGAGCCGCTTTCACACCAAGTACTTTGCCGTACTTAGTGCCCCGGCACTTAGTACCCCAGGGCACTAAGTACCAATCGCGTTCACACCGGAGTACTTTTTCCTGAGGGAAGATTACGCAAATGAGCCGCTGATGTCACTTCGTCTTCTTCTGCTTTGGGTTTACTGGCAGGCTGCAAACAACTTCACGGCGTATACTGCCACCCGGAGTCCCCGGCCGGAAGTCCCCGGAGTTGGGGACTGGCTTCAGTAGAAGCTGCTGGGACTCCCAGCAGCTTCTACTGAAGCCTTCCGAGTAAATCGCCAGAATGCCGACACCTCCTCATCTCCACCGCTCCCATGTTTTATTTTGTGTTACCATAAGTTATTCTCTCCGTTGGTGCGCGGGGCTAATGCTAATGCTAATAATGCTAATGCCAGCAAATACAATGGCGGCTTCAAAACACTTTTCAGTTTTACGGGGCGTGGTCTGCAATTCGCCCAGCCAATAGAAATTGGTACTTTTTTGGTACTTTTTTGGTACCACCTCTCTAGCAGGCACTACAAATGGGGGTAAAAGTTCCCGGCACTAAGTACTCTTTTTGGTGTGAACGCAACATAAGGGGTACTAACGGAACTAAAGGTAACACGCGCCTAAGGTAACACGCGACCACCTTATCACCTGATTCTCCTCCCAGAGCAACATTGTGCTTTATTATATCAATTACTTCTCAGAGGGGCATGGCCAGCAGCAGCTCATTTGCATTTACAGGCACAGATAATCGACACTTTTCAACAGGGTTGAAACAGAGGGGTTTATGGCATGCTACAATGATCTGTTTAGTGTTTCAAACACTTCAGAGACATGTTTTGTGTATTTCTGATAATATATTGTTGAAAAAGAGTATTACTTGCGAGAAGTTTGAGAGCACGGAGAGAGGGAAACATGCTTAATGAAGCACTTTGGTGCCATTTTTCTTTTTTAAGAGGGGGAATTTTTCCAATTACTTAATTTGGGGAGACTGCTTGGCTGTGAGAAAATAGAGGCAATTTAAAAGCTCAAGCACCAATTAGGGAATAGGCTTGTTGTGCGAGCTGCCTTTGATGGAATACATCTCCGGTTTATGAACCATGGGCGAGAACAGGAGCTCAGGGACCGACACGTGTGCGGTATCAAGGCAATTCTTCTAAGAATAATGTAATATTTGTTTCACAACACTTTCAAACTGATCTTCTGCACTTTACTTTTCTTTTTATCCAAGGAAACAGATGTATGATTCTGTGTTTCCTTTGTGTGTTTTGAGCTTTGTAAATATAGCAATCGACCGAATAAAGGTCATTGTATTTATGTAAATTGGGATAAACGTACAAATCCTCACTTAATACCCAAAACAAACTGCATTTCTCAGACACCCACATGCACACCCTCACTCAGCCTTTGTAATAACAAATAGTTTAGCACATACATTCCTGCATTTAAGAATTTAACAAAAACAACATTTCTGACTTTGATAATTAAAGAAAATAAGCAGAAAAATGTGAAAGCCATGCAAAGAGTATTATACCATCTCCATGTATTACCATAATGATTGTTTTTAAAGGTAAACAAGTTTTGTGTGTGTGTTTGTGTGTGTGTGTGTGTGTGTGTGTGTGTGTGTGTGTGTGTGTGTGTGTGTGTGTGTGTGTGTGTGTGTGTGTGTGTGTGTGTGTGTGTGTGTATGTGTATACTTGAGTGTAGGTGACGTGCCATTAAAAAGAGATTAAGAATCGTGGTGCTAAAATAACAATTGTCAGTGATTAACGCCTTGGTGATTATACCTCATAGCACACAGATCTGAAATATACACACTTTAATTTGTAGGACAGCTGTTTATTCTCACAGATTTTCAAAAACCGCCTAGATGACCGACTTTCTGATATTTCCCTGTTTTCTCTGTTTTAAATCATATAAAACGTAACATAAAAAGTTATTCAGGTTTTTTACTGACTATTTTCTGACATTCATTTGACAAAGGGTGATAATTAGTGTCAACCATATTACAAATTGTACGGATGGTGTCAGTTGGTGTTTGTTTGTACAACAACTATTATAATTAGTTGAATTAATGTTAAAACCTCTGGGTTAGATTATCTTCATGATTCTATATTGGAGCACATATTGGCACACTAGATCACTCCCCCTAAAGCACCAAAACATACACAACATAAAAAAAGCCAAGAAAACAAAGATACTCATTGTTCAGAAAATAAATCAGCAACATAGACCACTGGTTCCTTTGTGTTTCTGCAGATACAGGCCATGATGCACCTTGGCTCTTTATGTAAATTGACTATCACAGCAAACCAATGAGAGCAGGGGGGGCACATAACAACCCATAATGAACCACTAGTGCAAACAAAGACAAACAACTCCCAACCTAGGAAACATAAATCAGGTGTAGTGAATAGATGTCTCCTTTGATAACACGGTCACGGTAGCCTCCAGCAATAGTAATGGACTGGAAACCAAACATATATTTCCGTTTGCGAGTATCTTTACCAAAATCCCACAGAGTATCAATATTCGAGGTCTTATAACATTGCACATTTGTAATCCTCTCGCTATTTGGGAGTCTATTTGCATGCCGGTGGTTGTTGTTTACGTCCTTGACGATGTAAGCATGCAGATCGAGGCCTTTTGAATGGGTCACTGAGACAAATCGACTGATAAGCCCTTACCGATCAGAGGAGTGTGAAGGTAAATGAGGTCTGATAGAGGGGGCGGGTCACGTAGATAGAGGGTGAACAATACAAACCGGTTCATCTCGACCCCTGGGTGGCATTGGTGTGTGCAAGCATAACATGTCTGAGTGGAGGCACTGTGAAGAAGATTAGGCTTTTAAGTTGAAGTAAATCAATGAGAAACCGAAAACACCTAGGAAGAAAGAACGCTATCTAAACCCTGCGATTGTGTCTGGATGCAGGAAAACGAAATATTTGTATTCACATACTGCTTCTTCCGAATGTTGCCAAGGATGTCAATGTCCTTGCAATCCTGACCGGCCAGACTTTAATCTGTCAAACTGGCTCTCTTCCCACTAATCAGCTCCCATCATTCTATCTTTACTTGCCACCTCCCGGCAGATGGAAATTAAAAGTGGCAGTTACATTGGGACAGCTGGATGCCTTTCAGGGCAGAGAAGATTGTCAATGATTAGTTCAGTTTAGTTTTGGTTTAGTTCAGTGTCAGCTGGGACCGCGGGGGGGATATTGAAATGGTTGAGCAGCCCGAGCTAAAGACACCTGATGGCTAAATATACACCATATAATATCACACACTGAAATTCCCTCCAAATGTACATGTTATGGGCTAAACAGATATATCATCTTATTATTTTTTAAAGAAAAAAGGGCACATTAATGAACTTTCATTAAAAACCTTCATTTTTAATGCAGCCTTTCCTGAGATCCTTTAACCATGCCTTATCATTGCACTTTTAGCTGCAGCCAGTATTTTATCGCTTTTATGAATTGTCTTTTTTTAGTGTGTTGTTTGTTTTGTTTTGAATTATTATGTGTTAAATGGCTACTGTATGTGAAGCACTTTGAATTGCCTCTGTGTCTTGAAATGTGCTATACAAATAACCTAACCTTGAACCTTACAAAACAAAAGTTAAACTCATAAGCAATAAAATGCACACACTTAATTCAATACACTCGACTACATTACATTACATTTAGCTGACGCTTTTATCCAAAGCTTACAATAAGTGCATTCGACCAAGAAGATACAAACTTGAAGAAAACAGAATCATATAAGTACATCAGGTTTCATAGAGCCAAAACATTTCAAATACTAGTACTGCTTTAACTTGATCAGGTATAACCCATAGGTGTGTGTGGCTAATATATT